TAGCATGACCTCTGATGTAGTGTGATCTCTGACATAGCATGACCTCTGATGTAGTGTGACCTTTTACATAGTGTGACCTCTGACCTATTGTGGCCCCTGACGTAGCGTGATATCTAACCAGCCGGCGGAGCGCGGTGATATTTCTCTGCGAGGTTTAGCCGGTGCCGTGCTGGAGTCGCTGCTTCCTGGTTTAGAACTGTATGGTCATATTACGTATTAGTTGCCTCGCTGGGGATTCTGTCTGGATGCCAATGAAGTACACTGCAGGTCGCATTATAGCATGCGTCTATGCAGTGTATAGTTAGTGCACATCTATACATTGCGTCGACGTTTTCATTGTGATAAACGTGGCATGAGCTAAAAGTTACCATTAGCGCAGAATGTACGTTCAACGTTGCCATGTCAGAGTTAGCTTAAACACGTCCATTATCTGCTCAGTAATTCCACGTCAACGTTAGAGCTATTTTAAATATTCACTGTTGTCAAGTCAAGTACGCGGCTAGTAAATATGCAATGTTCGCAAGTTGTAATTGTCGTAATCCCGTATTCTATTAAATGTTTCAAATTCTATGAAATGTTTCAAACGCATAACAGCTGTAGTCAGCGCTTCCAGTGACGCTTCCAATGTTCTGTAAGTCATACCCGTGTGATGGTCGTGACTGGTATAGTTTAGATCTTGGAGTAATCATTCTGACTGATTCATTCAGTTCAATGAGTTCTGAGTTCAAATCATCTGAGTTCGTTCAGAATAATTACTCCAAGTTTAGATGCAGTATTGTTGGATAGATGGCTCTCGCGACGATTGCAGCTACGGATTGTCAGTAAGATTCTCATTGATTGATTCATTGATTGATTAATTGATTGAAGGCGCTAATTGATTAATGTTAATTAATGTCGTTTGTGATCCTCGTTCTTCATGTTAATGATCAGTGATACTCCCCACTCGGTGTGATTAGGGTTATACATATCCATCTGCAGGATGCATGCACTGCTATATGGTGCTATCTAGTACGACGTGGAGCTATGACTAGGAACTAGCGTGGGCAGTGTGTGCGTGTGTGCGTGCGTGCGTGCATGCGTGCGTGTGTGCGTGTGTGCGTGCGCGTGTGTGCGTTCGTGCGATGTAGAGTGTATTAGAGACGGCTGAATTCATCTATGTTTTATGAAGAGATAGGAAGCGGAGAAACAGGGAAAGATGGGAGAAGGTGGGAGGGAGGGAAAGAGAGAGAGAGAGAGAGAGAGAGAAAGGAAGTCCGGTGGATGTGCCAGAACCGGTGGTCTGTTTTATAATATTTGTTATAATCTGCTGTTAAGTCGTCATCGTTGTCGTCGTCGTCATCGTTGTCGTCGTCGTCATCGTCATCGTTGTCGTCATCGTTGTCGTCGTCGTCGTCGTCGTCGTTGTAGTACTATCGTTGTTATTCCCAAGCTCAATGCACAGTTATCTGTGTTCCTAAACTCGCGCATGCGCGGCTGCTGACACAACAGTAGTTTTCTGATTTGTCGATATGATTGTATGAGGAGTCGAGGAGTGTCATTGTATAGACTATATTATCTACATTGTCATCTATATTATGTTACACTCCCGATTGAATGAGGCGTCTGGGAAATTCGAACTGTTGCTTTCTCTCAGCAACTTGTTAACGACGCGTTCGTTGAACGTTATTGCTTCGTTCTTTGATCTCACACGATGTTTTCTTCACCTCGGAGCAATGGCTTCCCGCGACGTCACTGTCCCTGTCCCTGTCCCTGATAGTACGTGTGTGTGTATGCGTGCGTGCGTGCGTGCGTGCGTGCGTGCGCGCGTGTGTATTTCCGCATGATAAGTACTGTCGCGATGACGACATTCCGTAATTTCCACTGATTCGGTTAGTAAACGGTTTATCGCCAAATGTCTGAACGAGCGGTTCACACTTGTGTGGAATTTACGGCTGACGTTGTTGTGGGAAACACATCTACAATGAATCTATCCAACTGGAGAATATTACTCAATATAATGTACTCATGCGAGTTCTTTCTGCGACTGCTGATGTTGTTTTCCATTCAAATTCCTACCGCGGTCGCGTTTTTACATAGTTTTACGAAGTCGTAGAGCTCGTATGTTGATCGGTGTGATTGTAGATGGATCGTAGTCGCTGTCTTGGTGGGTAGTTGTGGTGACAGTGCGTGTAGCCTCCCTGCGACCCTATGCGTTGTCAACACTGCCGGCGTCAGGTTACGTTCTTGTCCGCAGACATTGTTCGTGTCGTATTTTCGTGTGTTTTGTATTGTGCGTGTCGTATTTCAGCAGACATCGTGCGTAATTATATTTATCTATACTCGCAGCGCGCAGTGTCAGGTATGCAGGTACTAATATGTCAACTACCTTCACAAAGGGAGTGTGGCACACAGTATATTCGACTGGTTGCTGTCGAGTTGGTGGTAATACAGTAATCGGTCCATGATGAGCTATGATCAGGGACTATGATGTCGCACCCTGCTTATACGTTTAGTTTCTACGGTGTTATTATGGATGACAATCGAGCAATTGTGTGGAACTTGCCTGCAAATCCTATAGAGTATAGACATTTACACTGCGAAAGCTACGAATCATGTTGCTGCAGCTATTATATATATATATATATATATATATATATATAACCTCTGTACTTATATGTGTATGCTTGTTTTCATTGCAAGTATGAACCTCCTATGTATGTACGAGCTTACAACGTAAATGAATACTTCCCCTGTATGTACTTGCTTCCTTTGTGCACGCCCGCATCATTTGTACGTGCTTGCTATGTCTGCACGTAGTTACCTACACATTGTACGCTCGCCCATTTCGCTTCTTCCTACGTCCTTCCCACGTCCTAGACGCATATGCTTGCTTCCTTCATTTGTCCTTTCTCCTTTCACCAATGTGTTTGCTCGCG